CGGGATTTCTGGATGCTTAGAACACAACACCTTGCTGTCGGAGAGTTTAAAGGATGCTAGAAAAAGCGAGCGGCAAATCACTGTTTGTTGGATAGACTTGGAGAACGCGTTCGGGTCGATACAACACGAATTGATGCTATTCGCGCTTAGATGGTACAACTTTCCACCCCTAGTTAGAGATATGATCGCGTCGTATTACTCAAAATTAAGGTTTTCTATAATAACTAAAGAAGGCCCTTCAAAAAGTTTGAGTTATAATGTAGGACTGTTTCAAGGTTGTTGTCTATCTCCAATTGCGTTTAATATCGTAATTAACATCTTAGTAGACAAATTAATCTGTAACGAGAAAAAATGGGGTTATCGGTTTAAGTTTAATAATAAATACACGGAATCCATTTTAGCCTTCGCTGACGATCTCGCAATACTGACACGTAACCCCAAACACTGTCAAGTACTATTGGATGAAGTGGATAAATTCTGTGAGTGGACGGATGGATTGAGGACAAAACCCAGTAAATGTCACTGTCTGTGTCTTGGTAGGCGGAATACAAGATACACCTCATACGATCCGGGACTATCGTTAGGCGGTCAATGCATTTCTACGGTTACGGAAAATGCACCATTTAAATTTCTCGGTCGTAAGATAGATAATATAGGCCGTACTCCATCTTTAGAAGGAATAGTAGATAGCTTTTTGAACGATCTTAACAAGGTAGATAGCCAACTGATAAGTAACGTAAAAAAAGCGTGGATCTACGAGAATTACTTAACTTCACGTTTGAATTGGCCTTTCCTCGTCTATGATTTTAATAAAACCCTTTTGTCAAAGTTAGATGCAGGCGTCATAAAGATGTTGAAGTTGTGGCTCGGGCTCGCTCTAACGGCTGATTCATCGGCGTTATTTAGGGGAAGCAATAGTTTTGGGATGAGTCTAAAAAGGCCATCGGAGCTCTATAAACACCTAAGAGTTTCCAAGAGATATATCCTGGGGAAATCCCATGATGACATAGTGACATCGCTCCCAAAAGATGAAGATGCCCCCGAGCTAGAGTCACGACTTCAATTCCATAAGCAATTTATGATAGGAGCGCAAAGTAACAGAGCGGGGTTAGGATCAAATAGGAAAGTCCAAGATGCGGATATATTGAAGTCTTTTATTCGGCAAGACGAGAATGATAAATATAAGATCCATGCAATGAATTTAGAAATGCAGAACGAGTGGTTAGACATAGGAGATTTTTGCATCCCATTAGCATTAAAATGGCGCACTTTAATTTATGATTGGTCGCCAGCATTGCTAAAATTCTATCTCAATGCGTTCCAGATGACTCTCCCAGATCAGAGTAATTTAGTAAGGTGGGGTAAAAGTACCGAAAAAACTTGCTATATCTGTGGAAAGGCAGTTGGAACTGCTAAGCATCTGCTGGTGGGATGTAGGGTACTCCTTGACAGCGGTCAATACTCGCGTCGTCACGATAGGGTTCTAGAAGTCATACGTGAAGCGGTTAGTCTTTCGGTAGCCAGAGCGCAAAAGGGAACAACCACAAACGAACGATCAGTAGGTTTTGTGAGAGAAGGCACCAGGGCTACAAAATCAAACGTCAAGCCTTACTCCATCCTTAAAGCGGCGTCGGATTGGACTATAATGATGGACACGTATGAAAAACAATATAAAATCCCCGAGGATATTTGTGCGTCGGCCTCCAGACCGGATATATTTTTGTTTTCGCGAATTTTAAAGCGCGTAGTGATGATAGAGCTTACGGTCCCTTGGGAAACCAACATCCCCAAAGACCATACCATCAAGGTCAACAAATATTACGAGCTCACGAACGAACTCACTCGAAATAGGTTCGTAGTAGATTTGTACGCGGTAGAGGTGGGAGCGAGAGGTATAACAGCGAAATCTCTCTATAACCTACTAAAGGACTTGGGCTTGTCCAGAACTCACATTAATGCATTCTTGGAACGTACATCGAAGGCAGCCCTAGTAGGTTCTTTTCAAATTTGGTTAGGTAGGGAGAGGAGCTTGGACAGTGGAGGTGAGCGTATAACGCGCGTTAGTTAAGGGGCCCCTTAAACCTACACTTGGGTCGCAAGTCCCAGGCACTGTTGAAGCTCCTCCCCCTGCAACGCGATGGACCCGGCACCCGCACGGTGAATCCATGGAATGCTGAGAAGTTTCGTCTTACTGCTTAATTTCTATATATTTTAAATAGTAATCAACTCATTATTTTATTACCTTCAATTTGATACGGGTAGTTGCATGAAAGCGGGGTTATATATGTTATAATAATAATGGATGAAATATTAATGAAATTTGTTGTACATCACTGTTCAAATTTAAAAATATATGGTCAAATAAATAACATGATATATGGTAAATTAATAGAAAATCGACGTTATTGCACATAGTTATAATGTATAAGTATTTACATTTTGAAAATGGGAATGGGTTTTATCATGTTTTTTTTTCATTTTAGAAATATTTTAAAGTTATTTGTTTTTCGGTAAGGAATTTGTACTACATTTTCGATCGTACGTAGATCATTAGGCTTGCAAATGAAACTTGAAAAAGAAGACGAATGACTATTTTGGTCATGAATACTGATTCAATATTTAATTTACTGAAATTAAAATTTACTGAAATTTAAGAACTGGTCCACAGATTTTACCAGAATACATATATAAATAAGGTTTTTATTCCTTTAAGGATGAAAGATGAGAAAATTCGTTGTTTCTAGTTACATTGTGTTAATTAACGCACTTTAAAAAAAATATTTGCAAAAGTAGTTATTGGCCAAGATAAAGGATAATATAGCGTCCTCTCTTTTATAATTATTCGAATAAACTAGACTGTCTTCGAAAATACTTAGAAAAGCATAAACTTTATAATATATTCTTTATTCGAAATTATATATTTTTTTTAATCTAGCAACATGGCTATTTCTTGTAATTTTGTCTGCCTATGAATTTAATTATGTTCCCAAAAAAATAAGTTAGATAAATATGTCAATAAAACTTCTTGGAATAGTTTTTTGTTATAAACATAATTATTTCCAAGTATTAAATTTATTTATTTTGTCCCAGTGTTTTAATTCATTCCCATTTTTCTTAAGTGTGGCAATGTATTTAATTATATTATCATTGTTTAATTTATAAAACAAAGCATTTATGAATGAATGGAAGTAATTAATGACCATTATATCTTTATTTATGCTCTAGACAGATCATTTCAATTAGATGACATCACGTTTAATAAAAGTAAGGTAGAACTGATTAGGACTTGGAAAATTGCAAAACCTTAGTTGGATTACAATTGTTAAATAGTTTTTTTATTCTTGCATATCATTGAAGTGATTTATAATGAAATATAATTGTTTTAAAATGAATGTAATCTAAGTATGATAAATATGTTATATTGGGTTAAGCAAGTTATAAGTTTTAACTCTATGTTTTAATAACGTCATAGTCACCCTGTCGTCGAATATACGATGAAAATGTTCGTTATTCAATACGTTTTTCGTTTATTCATTTCGCTCCGTTCAATCTTCGTAGATCAATCCAAATGTACATATGTAGATAGATAGTGCACTATACTTTATTGAACACCATAAATAGCAAAGTAATTCAAATGCAGAGTGTTATATATTTATAATAATTTAAGCATAATTATTTATTTTACATGTAATTTGTGGTGGATTATTTGATTTAAAATTTAAATAGATTATATACATGCGGACACAATTCAAACTTTCTTCAAGGATACGAAACATATAGATCCGTTTTATGAAAGTATTTTTGAATTCCTTTTTGTAAAAGTAATTATATGAACCTCCACTACATAAAATAGTCTACTTCTAGGACTGAGCCTGTGTTTGACCGCCCACTCTCACTATAAACTCATTCAGGACTTAACGAATTCATTCATTGAGGAATTTAAGGAAAGCTACATAGAGGAGCTCAAAAATATGTACAGTATGGTCGGCGAATAAAATTGTAGCAAGGAACATGCCTCACGTGAGTTTTGATATAAGTATGTTGCCTCAGAACATTTGAGTAAAAGAAAACATCCGGTTTCAAACGTATCGGTTAATGATCTACTTCCCTGACCTTTTCTTGAATGGGTTGTTGAAATTTCTGGGTTGTACAAATATTTAAAATAGCGTTTTATATTACAGAAAATATGGTTTATACGTAATTGTGTACATATGAAATAATTTGATCAATTCTATTATAATGTGAGAATAAAACCAAATCGCTACAATGTATGCCCATTATCTTTTTAATTAATAATAATTGCATATATTATGTCGATTCATCAAAAGATAATAGTGTCTTTATAAACGGACCAAATTTTACAAAATCTTTCGTTCTGAGTTTAATTATATTTTTATAATTAATTAATTTGTTATTACTTCGATAAAAAAATGTGTTTAAACTCAAGGTCAGGAACTACTTATAGTTAGAATCTTTATTATTATTGAAATGTAAATTAAATAATGAAATAAATAAATAAAACAATAAATAATTGGCATTATTAAAAGTTAACTATGTTTCGGTTTTCGTTTTCATAATAACTCATTATCAATTCTTACCACCTTTTTACGGTTCAAAGAACTCAAAAGATAATAAAATGTAGGTTATTCAAAATATTAAAAGTTAAAAAGGATGCCATTTTGAAACAATGATTTTGATAATAATTTATTAAATACATAGTAGTGTTGTAAATTAATTATATATAATTTAACGACAAATTGTATTACCGATACTTAAAATAAAAATAAAAATCTGACCATATGCTCAAGAGTAATTGTCTTTTAATTTTAATAAAATTATATGTATACACTATTTTTCAAATGTATGTATATTCATAAGTATTTCATATCTCTAATCTATCTAGATAAAAATGTTAATTACCCTATAAGTGTTTGTAGTATAAATATTGAAGGTGTCGAGACCTAGAAGCCAAATATTGTTAACAACTGCTTCGTATCACTATGTTCACCGAAAAAGTGGTTCTTGTGACCGGTGGAAGTTCTGGTATTGGAGCTGCAACGGCTATAAAATTTTGCAAAAATGGTGCGAAAGTTGCTATTGTAGGTAGAAATCGAAATAAACTTGCTAAAATTGAGACCCAATGTAGAGCAAACGGCGGTGAAATAGTTGTGATTATCGCTGACTTAAGCAAACCTAATGATATAAAACGTGTTATTGACGACACTATAGAACATTTTGGTAAACTAGATGTTTTAGTTAATAACGCTGGTGTTGGCTGCTTTGCAAGTATTGCATCGGATAACGCTATGGAAGAATTTGATAAAACTATGGCTGTGAACCTTAGAGCCGCTGTTTATCTCATTCATCTTGCTTTACCACACCTCATTAAAACTAAAGGTAACATAGTAAACATCTCAAGCATTGCATCTACAGCAGTATTATTTGAAACAAATTTTTCATACTGCACTTCTAAAGCGGCTTTGGATCATTTTACCAGAAGCATAGCGTTAGAATTAGCACCTAAAGGAATACGAGTGAATTCTATAAACCCTGGCCCTGTTAAAACGGATTTTCTAGATACTATTACCCCTAACAAAGAAGATCAGGAGAAATACCAAGAAATGATAGAAAAAAGAACAGCATTAGGAAAGCAGTCTGATGCAAATGAGATTGCTGATCTTATTATGTATGTAGCAAGCGACAAAGCTCACAGTATCACCGGTTCTGCATTCGTCATTGACAATGGCATGTTAATTAAGGTTTAAATCTTTATTTGTCATTAATAAGTTGTCCAATGTTTTTCTGGTAATATAATTGTTTTAAATAATGCACAACAAAAAAATTGTAACCCAAAAGATTTGTTTTTTCCCACACTTTTACGTTTCTTATTTTTATGGTGTTAGTTTTCTCTTTTATCTTGTTTGTATAACTGAAGTACACGACTTATTTAAGCCGTGTTGGAAAGAAGCGTCTACGAAGATAAATTCATTTTTCAATTTATTTTATTCACTTCAGCAAATTGCATTCTTGTTGCACGGACACTGATGGTATTCAGCTATTTCTACGAACAAACGATGATTATGAAAGAACTTCAATAATTTACGAGTATATCATTAATTAAATTCTGGCTTCCCTCAGAGATTTCTTTCTATTTTTAGAATTCATTTTTTTAAATAAATAAACAACTTATCTATTTCTGCGTTGCCGAGAATAAATAAAATGACTAAGCTAAGTTTTTATTTTATGTGAACGTTTAATATCTGTTTGCTTAGCACAAATTTTGCATCGTCAAACACGACGTTTCCTGTTTCTTATTGAATAGTGGACGTGAACACTATAATTCAAAGATTCCAGATATTTCCAGAGACTTATTCTGAAAATGGGAGAAATATTTTAAGATTTTTTTAATAGGTTAATGTTCAATCATAAAAGAAATTTATTAATAATATACTTATTATTTATTAGATACAATCTTCTTATACAGTTCTGTTTTTACTTATTGCTCTCGTAAATGATTCGTGGCAGTATTGTTGAGTACAGCTGTAATTAAAAATGTATTATGACTCACTCCCGCAACTGATACAGTTCATTTTTCATTTGAATCCTCATTTGTGGGTATACGCTGGTACGATTTCATCTCTTCTATTTTTTATGAACAACGCTCATAATGTTTATTCTTATTAATTATTATATCTCTTATTATTTCACAAAACATAAAAATATAACTACTTCTAAACGTAGTTAAAATATCGTGGTGTATTTAAAAATAATATTAACGTCCACGAAATGTTAGAATGTAGAGAATCTTGCATAAATGTAAGAATAAAAATATCTGTGTATCAGAGAATATCTAAAAATTTTCTTATAAATTTCCAAGACATGTATTAAACTTTTCTCTTCCAAACTGTTACGCCTGGAAAATATTGAACTAGTTGGACTGAAGTGTTGCGAATTTCCTGTGATATCAAATATTTATTTCTTTACAAAGAAAATATGTATACTTAAAAATATACAAATCGGTATTATAAGAAACTGATCTTAATGCTTTAAGTCAAATTGGGACCTAATACTTTAATTGGAAAACTCAATAGGGCGTCATTAAGATTCCACATGTCGTAGGTTCGAATCCTGCTGTTGTCAATGAATATTTTTTTTACTCTATAATCTTCTTTTGTTCTTTAAGTTATTTCAGTCAAAACTGAACCTATTTCTTACTTTTGTCGAGAATTACCCGACAAAAAATATAGAGATAGAATTTAAAGTTGAAGGATCTAAATAATAATAATTTTTGAATCTAAACAATAATTTTTGAACCCACATTTATATGTTAGTAATTATCTTTGTTTTAATAAGCTGGTATTTCAAATAGTATTCTTTAACACTTTATGTACTTTTTACTTACTTTCATGTACTTAATATTTTTTTTCCTCGTTGAAGTAGTGCAGGGTAAAAAATAAATATATTTTCCTTAATATAATTGGCAGCTGTGATCACCTCTAAAATATAGTAGATCTACTAACAACCTACATTTTTATTTCCGGTTTTAATAATAGAGAATTTTAAACTTTGACCTGACTACTAAAACGGTAACAATAAGTTGTTTTGTTTACAATACCTTATCTCTAAATACTTTATACGTTCAATAACATCGTTATAAACGGAAGAAAAAATTGTATTTAAAGGCAGAGTTAGGTCAGTCGGTTCTAACAAAACAACATTATTACTAAACATTATGTCGTTTATCAGTAAAGTCGTTCTTGTTGTTGGCGGAAGTTCTGGTATCGGCGCTGCGACTGCAATTAAATTATGCGGAGAAGGTGCGAAAGTTGCCATCGTAGGAAGAAACAGAAGCAAATTAGCGGAACTTGAAAATCAATGCGAAGGAATTCTTGCAATAAATGCGGATGTAAGACTAGACGAAGATATAAAGAGAATAGTGGATACGACTGTAAACCATTTTGGAAAATTGGATGTTTTAATTAACAGTGTTGGTGTTGGTTGCTTTGCAAGTATTACCGCCGAGAACGCTATGGAAGAATTTGATAAAACTATGGCTATAAACCTTAGAGCCGCTGTTTATCTGAGTCACCTTGCATTACCACACCTCATTGAGACTAAAGGTAACATAGTAAACATCTCAAGCGTTGCATCGACTGCTGTATTTTTCGAAAATCATTTCGCTTATTGTACATCCAAAGCCGGACTAGACCATTTTACTAGAAGTATAGCATATGAACTAGCACCTAAAGGTGTCCGAATAAATATCATCATTCCGGGACCCGTTAAAACTGGTTATATCAATGGACTCATATTAGATATAAAAGAACATGAAAAATTTTATAACATGTTAGAAAACCGAACAGCTTTAGGGAAACAGTCTGAAGCTAACGAGATTGCTGATTTAATATTATATATTGCCAGTGAAAAAGCAAGAAGCATTACTGGTTCGTCGTTTGTAATAGATAATGGAATGTTACTTAAGGGTTAATACCTATACAATGTCTACAAGTAATTACTTTCGCGACATTGCTTGACACGCTGTATTAAATTAATTACAAAATTACTATAAGAAGGAACACTAAAATATTCGCCAAATTATCGACTCTAAAAGTTTTAATGAGACCCTTACAGTAAATCTAATTAGTATGTATTTAAATTTAAGAGGAATTGATATTCATCACGACACTTAATGTTTGTTAATTTTAAGTAAATGAATGAAAATTATAAAATATGAAAGTGTATACGTTATATTTTATAATATACATAAAAATTATTTAAATAATAATGTATTTTGTGCTGTATTTATAATTATGTTGAATCATGCAAAAGACAATTGTATATAATTTTAGTAAACAATTCAAATTTGTACATACAATTTCAGAACAGATGTCAATACCAGACGATATTCGTAGTTGTCTTTGACATAACAGACTATCCGAAACTTCTCTGTCTTATATAAGCTATAGTTGAGATTGAGGTCATACATTCGTCAAAATAAATAAGGAATTTCTAAATAAAAATAAATGTTACATTAAAAATTATGAAAACTTAAAATTTGACCTAACTTATTAATGAAATGTAAGTTTTTAAGATAAATTGCAAGATATAAATAATGGTTACATCTGCCTCTGTTTTAATGAATATGAATCTGAAAAAAATATTATTTTTTTTACTTCATTTTATCTTCGTTCATAATTCTGTATTGAAATTACCTTTTTTTTTTAGGAAAGTATATTCAAATTTATAAATACTTAATTTTCATGCAATGTTTGATTTTTTTAATCATCAAACATAAAGGATATGCTTTAAGAAATAAGTTTTAAAAAAATAATTTTTTGTATTCCAATAGCGAAATTTCTTGTATTGCTTTGGTGTTCAGTGAAAGGAAAATCTTTGTTTTTCGTTCACAACTTTTATAATACACAAATTGACATAAAATCAATTTGGATATATATAATTATATATATATAGATATAATAATACATTAAATGCCAATTGAAGTAGGGTCCCATGTTTGGATTTATATAATCAACCCGTCAAAGCAGATTTTTTTTGTGTTGTTGATGTTATTGTACGTAATTCCCAAAGAGCTATGTATGTTTTATGTATAAATTTATGTATAGAAAGTGTCTTAAAAATACATGATTAATTTGTTATCGAAAATAATAGTAATGTTTATACAAATTCTCATAAATAAAAAAAAATATGCTTTCTTTTTCTTATTTTTTAAGCCCATTTTATATTTAGCTACATCGCGTCCACAGATTAAACATGTTTTACGTTCAAAACAAAATTCAATGTTAATCAATAAGGTTCAATGCATAATTCAATACTCATTATTATGTAAATGCACCTTTTACAGACTGAAGTAGCAATCTCATTTCCGAAGTACTATTTTGTTAGGTCCGTTGGTGCTTTTATGTTTTTATTTACATGTTGCCGACACAACGTTGGACGTCTTCTTTTGTCTGGCAAAGTTTTAACCGCTCAGTTTCTATTTGCGGCACTTGTGCTTCCTGTATTGTATATATTAACGATTCAATTTTAAACTTCGATATTGAATCTCTGCATTTATTGTGATCCTTTAAAATAGAATCCAAAACGAAAATATATATGGCAAAAAGAAGATATTAAATAAAAGTTTAATAAGCAATTGTTAATAAAAACTTTATTTAATCTTTCATAGTCTTTCATAGTTTGATGGATAATATAAATAGGAATGATATCTAGATTGATCTGTTATGAACTTAATGGATAACTGTTCTCATATGTATGGAATTTACTTCATTTAAACGTTGAATATTATATAAGAAAGAATGAATTTCTCTGTTCAGTTTTACATTAAGTTCTTTATCCAAAATATGTTTTTTTAAGATATAATAATTAATTTATTTGGAAAGATATTATTGCGTTTATGGTATTGCGAAACTGTGATAATTTAAAGCGAAAGGGTGAGAACAGACTAAATACTCTTTAAAATCATTAATATATTATTAAATTAGAGTAAAATGAAATAATGTTTTGTAATGTATTAATGGATTTTGAAACACACTTTCATACTTATTAATTGGGTTTTAGTTTGACATAAACTCATATAAAAGGTTTTATGTACTTTAAATAACAATTATTTTGAAGGTTAATTGTTACAATTATATACATTGATAATGCTGTTAATACTTCTCTAATAATAGTTTTTCTTTTTTTTCAGAATCGAGAATGATTTGAACACGTTTGGTAAGTCTCATAGAGAATAATAGTAAGTTTTCATTATAAAATTACTTTTATCTTTAAATAAAACGGGAAAATATTGGTGGTTCAAATGGTGTACTAAGCGTCAAGGATTTAATGATGATCATGAATTAAACGTATTATCGCGAAAATTACTTATGTTTAACACATCATAAAAAATATTTACTGTTAATTTAAATCCTCTTAATAAAAATTGCATATCGACAAAAATGTCAGATACGATATTGCTATTGGTAAGAATGGAAAATTTCAATAAATTTTTAATTAGAAGAATAAATTAATATTCATAGAGTTTTTATTATTGATATTATAGTTACATATACATTTAAAAATATATAAGACTGATGAGTTTAAATCTATTAAAGAATCTATTCGTCGTTATCTTGTTCAAATACATTCCTTCAATACTGAAAATCGTGAGACTATTGTTTACAAAGCGAAAGAAAGCAGAACGTTAAAAGTATATTGAAATTGAAAATCAATGGTTTATTAAATGTTTCCTTCACAATTTACCTTAATAATCTCGGCGCTAGCTGTCAATAATTTAATTACGTCAAGATGCCTAGTTTAAATTAATACATTACGTATCCTGAATTCATATATAATCTTATTCTATAAAAACAACTTACAAGTAACTACCGAAAGTGATATAAAGGGACTTTGAAGCTTATAATTAAATTGCAAAACAGCTATTGAATTTAGAATCTTTTGCAGCGATAATCGACTTCGAATTCGAAAACTTTTAAACCTCCATTAACACTGAATCGAACTGAACTTAAACTAGATGTAAGAAAATAAGTGCGATTTCATATTCCACAGTAATAAAGCTAGACATATTTTAACCATTTAAATTCCTTTTTTACTTTTAATATTGGAGAAAAATGATACCTTTTAAAAATCTGAAGTCAGTTTTAAAAGCGGTCACCTCTTTATATGCCGAAATACAAAGACTAATAATCAAATAGACAAATTTATTTAGCCGTAAAGACATTACCACCTTTTTTATTCCGTTTGACTGATTTTCTTGATTCTATAACATATATTTTAGGTATAACATGAAGTCTTTATTTTAATATATTTCTATTCTAAAATAATTTTAATAAGGTATTCTTAAATGTATATACATATGTCTATATATAAAACCAATCTACAAACACTGCATAAAGTCTGTCGAGATACTCCTTATTTTATTTTTTACCATAAGATTAATTTCCATCATTGAAATATTATATCAAAATTACAAGTCACGAAGAGTAAATGTAGAGACAAATAAGATTTATTTTTCTTAGAAGAAATTAATTTGTGTAAAACGCTTTTATTCGATGCGAAATAGGTTGGGCGGAGCAGAAAGGAAATAAGGTTATCTCGAACTCAACGGTTTCTCAGGAAGCCTTCATAAGTATACCTATAAAGCAGAATATTACTATCCCATCTCCTGTACCATATTCTTAGTTTTGTAGAGGCATGGCATAAAAATAACATTATTCGTAGATTACTTAACTTTCTAGCCTAGTTTAGCGTGTCGTAGAAAATTGCCAGATGAAATTAGTTTCTTTTGTGTCAGTCTCGAAGAAAGGACGTGTTCAAATATGAAAATCCTATGTAGAAAAATAAAAATGTATGTGCTACAAATGTTTTAAAGAGAATATCTCTATTTATTATTATTACATTTATATTTACCTAATATTTTCAACATAAAGAAGCACGCGGACCAAACAATGATTGCAGTTTTGAATTATGAGTGTATGTCGTCCAATTTTTCATAAATTTACTGTATTTGCATTAAAATTGAGTTGTCCAAATACTTAAAACTCGTCAAAAAAAATTTTTTTTTCTAAACTTGAATCGTAAAACGTCTTGATAAATTTGATTTCGGAACGATAAAACTCTTTTAAGTAATTATTTTACGGAGAAATAAAGGATTTCCTAATAAAATAATTTCTAAACCCCTGTAAAACAATATTCTTTGATAAGCACGTAAAATGATTTTAGACTTTTCATAGTTCACAGATTATATGAAAACATATGTAGAACTGTGCCCACCACGCTTTGAATTAAAAATGTCTTAAAAAAATAATTTAAAGTTTAAATTATTTTTTCGTATCCGCTGAGAGAACTTTAATAGAAAAGAACACATTTGAAACACATCTTATATAGAACTACATATTTAAACCCGTTCTTTTAGCCAACCGTAATATAACGTTCCTTAACAAGAGTAGTAAAACTCTAGTTACTTAGTAAAAGTAATTTCACGGTATCGTAGAAATGTATAGGTGAAGACATAACCTGCGGTCTAACAAAGCTTTATGACGTGTTTACGATTGTTGACAAGCCTACAAAGTTCGTGCAGGAGATTTTACGATACACCTAAGACGGTAAAGTTATTTCAGAAAAGTTTAGTGACTCACAATTAATCTGTACATATAATGTAACTAGAAAATTAACAACTGTCCCATAAAAAATATCGCAGATACTTTGTTTTTTAATACATATTATGCGGTCGTTATTTATCGACATCGGTCGATAAAAATACACTGAAATTACTTTGAAAAAAATTTTTTCATTAAAAGTTGAGTTTAAAAGCAACAAAACAATTATTTGTTGTATTTTGTCATTCGAGGTTTCGGGCGATTAAGTATTGTTTTGTATTCTACAGATTAGTTACAACTAAAATGATCTAGAAAAACTGAAATTTCCACATAGTTGTATTTTTATTATTGAAAACCTTACTACAATAAT